GAAAGTTGTCACTCTGCCGTGTGTGTGTGTCGCGTCAATTACGTCACTCTCCCACGACCTACGACCTAGATGACTCAGATTTTATTTATTTGGAAAATAAATTCAAGCCACCTGACTGATACAAATATATACTATGACTATTATATGCTTCTGTATACAGCTAATTTTATTTTAAGTGAAATCATAACTATTTGATGTAGTTTAATCATTTTTATTTAGGTGGTCACTCAGTTTTTCAAATGTACACCACTCGCCAACAGGGGGTGCTGCAGCACCCCCAGCACCCCTACTTCCCGCGGCTATGCTCCTACCTGGCTGACACGGAGAGAGCGGCTGTTCCCCCTCTATGATCGCAGGACAAGGTGGGACCTTCGTCTCTACTTTCTCACAGCGGTCGGTATGTATTGTTCCCAGCCTTCACCCCGTCGGGAAGATAGGCATGTTTTGCTATGTTCCAGGGACGGTGATGCGCCATTACGCATGGCACAACAGGCAGGGGGGTGTTATTGAGCAGGTATGTCTGTGCTTCTAGTGCCGGATGGACCCAGTTGGGCGCAGACTACATCATGCTTCGCCCTTAACCCAATAGCGATAGCCTTACCCCCTGATCCCACTTGAAGTGTCCGCGCTGCGGCTGCGCCGCGCTGCGACCTCCTCCTGCGTCATAACCCACCAGACGCGTTTCAACACGTTGCGGAAGCGGAGCGTCGTGTCGTGTGCAGCCTCGCAGTTGTTGGATGAACATTCCACTTCCTGCCTGCGCTGCGCTGTGCTGCGCCGCGTCAAAAATAGGATTCATCCTATATTTTAGAAATTCCTTGTGGCGAGGAGCTTCTGGGACGCTTCGAGCCGCGGCGCAGCGCGGCGCAGCGGGTCTGGTGGAATAGCACCCATTGACTAGAGTGGCCGCGATCGCTAAAAACGCCGCAGCCGCAGCGCAACGCAGACGCTCCTGGTGGGATTACGGCCCGTCTACACTACAGGCGTCAAAAAATGCTTTCAACGCTTCGCCCATTCATTTGAATGGGGTGACGTAGGATATTTTCAAACTTCGCCGAACTGCATTGTGGGTAGCATGGCAAGGCGTTGCAAGCATCGCGAGCGTCTATCGGCGTCAAAAGTTGAACAATGTTCAACTTTTGAGGCTCGATGCTTGCTCAAAGCTGGCGTCAGCCAATCAAATCCCGTTTTTGCAATTCCCGCCAGTACAAGCGCTAGCCAATCAAACCGCGTGCAAGCTGGGAGAGCCAGACCGCAGTTCATTTCCTCATATTCCAAACGAGAAATTACGGTAGCAAATCACCCGGTTCTTTCCGACCAGAACTATTTACCCGGATACAAACCGGAGGAACCAGGCATGGAGGAAGGTGGCAGAGACAGTGGGTGAAACTGGTAGGTTTTCGCCTGTTTGGGGATTTTATATCCAGTTTACTTCGTTTTAACATTGCTATTGCTTTGTATGTCGGGGGCGGGAGATTCATGTGATTGGTTGTTGGTCGCCTTGGGCGCGAGAAATCGCCAAGCCTCAGACACGCCCAGCTTCAAGCTTTTTCGATGCCTGTAGTGTAGACGGGCCGTTAGGGGGTTAAGCCATATACGAAATAGAACTGAGGTTACCTACTGTAACCCAGCTTCTATGAGTAAATGGCGCAGCCCTCTAAGCGCTGGGCCCCACTGGCTCTCCGAATAGCTGAATAAAAGATATATTGTATGGGAGCAGATTGCCGGGCACCCTTCCTATTTATACCGGAAGGAGGCCCGAGGGTGGGGCCCACCTGGCGGGTGGGCGTGGACTACAAGTGTTTCAGTGCTGCGCGGGGGCGCAGAGGGATAACCCAATAGCGATAGCCTTAGAGGGCTGCGCCATTTACTACTGGGTTACAGTAGGTAACCTCAGTTTTTCACAAATCCAGCGCTCCCTACCCTAACTCATGCCTGGCTGTGACGTGAATGGTGTACGGCCGTGAAGCCAGGACAGTAAACAAACATGTCGTCGGTAGTATGGGACTATTTCAAAGTTTCAGAGTTAGATAGTTCGCTTGCTATTTGTATTAACAAATGCAATGCAGAAACGAGGAGGGAAAAAGGCAACGAGCTATAATACTTCCAACCTGATTAGTCACCTGAAACATCGCCATCGCTACGATGGTGTGTTAAAAGCGTACGAAGACGCTTGCGCTGCTAAACTAGCGGCGAATCCAAAGCCAGCTGCAAAGGCACCGGGGCTTTTACCTATCGACGAGGCTTTTGAAAAAGGCAAGAAGTTTGCCAGAGATGACCCAGGGTCATCATGTCATGTCATTTGCTCACTACTAGTCTTTTTTTACCACCAGGTGTGCAAAAGCTACAGGTACATTTAATATATATATATATATTATATTATTATCGGTTATCGGTATCGGTCTTGAGAAGCAGGAAGTTATCGGTATCGGTTTAAAAAAAACGATATCGTGCATCCCTAATCACAACTTTTTTACTGTCCTATAGTCAGGGCATAACTGGCCAAAAAAGGAGCACCGGGTCATTTGAAACAAAGCGCATTTGCGTACCAACATTGAGAGAGAGAGAGAGAGAGAGAGAGAGAGAGAGAGAGAGAGAGAGAGAGAGAGAGAGAGAGAGAGAGAGAGAGAGGAGAGAGAGAGATAGAGAGAGAGATATATAGAGAGAGATAGATAGAGAGAGAGAGAGAGATATGCTCGCATCCCGATCTCTCTCTCTCTAGCGCTCTCGCATCTCCTCTCGCTCGATCCTCTCTCTCTTCTCTCGCTATCTCTCTCTCTCTCGCTCATCGAGATATTTGCATACATGTATGAACCATGATATGAACTCACGGGGTCGGCCCGTAGCACTGGCTAGATGTTCGCCTAGGGCGCCAGATCTGTGAGGCGCTGCCGCTGGCAGTTCTGGGAGGGAAAAAAACATTTTGACCGTTGGGGCTCATCCTAATTTTCGGCCTTGATGTAACAATATTCATAATTAAGTAAATGTAACACCCTTTTCACCCCGGTTACACGTTTCATTTGCCCTGTACGATGGGCGCTGTAAGTGATGAAAATGGGAGATGTTGGCTTATCTGGCGCCCGCAGCTCACAGCCAAAATGCGAGTGAGCGAGGGAGGGTGCACCCGGTTACCAGCGCTGTTGTTATTAGAATCTGGTGCCGTGCTAGCTGCTCTAACGGATATAAGAAGAAGATGTTTCTACAATAATGTGGAGGGAGAGTCCTCTCCAGTCAGACTGATAACTACAGCTCAGTGAGGTAAAGTCTAAGTTCAAACGGTTTGGTCGCAATTTATGTAAACACATATTTCCAAGGCACTCCTTTATAATTATTGGGATAAACAGGTTTTAAATCATTCCAATGTATACTATAGGACAGTAACCAAAAATATCCTTTAAAACTGGAGAGATAAAAAAAAAAAGCATAAATAAATGTTAAGGTAAAATAAGATATGAATGAACAACACAAATAAAATAAGTTACATTCATTTGTTATTGGCTATGGTAGGTTATTGGTTATGTTCACATACTTATTTGATTACATCCACTTGTCTAAGATGACAACAGAGACTTTCGACCCAAAACCAGCTGTTGACTTGTGGATGCAAGCATCTAATCGCAGACTCAACCAGAGAGAAAGAAGTAGGCCTACATCATCAGCTACCATGTCTGACAGAGAGGAAGACAGTGAGGAGAACAGTCAGGAGGGTAGTGATGACAGCTTGTAGGATTACTGCTCGTGCTAATGTTGTCTTGTGTTCACCTCTGCATGTGTGTTCTGTGTTCACATCTGTGTGTTCTGTGCCGTGTGTCTGGCAAATAAAGTCAAGACCCCCTCAAAAGTTACGGTTTATTTCATTTTAAGGATGAGCACCAAGCAACATCTCCAGGTGCTCCTTTGAGAACCAGGGCAACAAAGTTATGTGCACCCCTGCCTATAGTACACATTGGAATGATTTCTTACTTTATTTTTTACAACTATATTAAATAGATAAAGGTGTGCTCTCTCTCTCTCTCTCTCTCTCTCTCTCTCTCTCTCTCTCTCTCTCTCTCTCTCTCTCTCTCTCTCTCTCTCTCTCTCTCTCTCTCTCTCTCTCTCTCACAGAGACTGTGTGCTCCTCCGTGGTGACGACGGCTTGCATTAAAAAAAATTATAAACATATTTGTAAAGTGGGGGCTATTGAGGGCTTATGAGCTACCGGTACTGTAGCTCGCGATCGACGTGTTGGAGACCCCTGCTCTAATGGGTCCGACTAGAATTACAAATATATATCGTTCTGCCTATTCCGTCAGCCAATAAATCGTTTAATCATAAACTTAAAAAAAAAAAATCATTTTCAGGGGGGCCACAGGGGGGGTCCAAAGTCAGTGTTAGGGGGGCACTGCCCCCCCCCCCCCCACCCCTAGAACCGCCCCTGGTCTTATGGCTCCATCGTGTGGCAGCCACTGTACTATATTATTTGTTTTTCACCAGTCCCATAGTGACTCTGTTTTACCTATGCTTCTCTATCATATTGTCTCGTTAACATGAACATTTACACTTATATATATAATATAAAGCGTTTAGCTTTAAGACAGGGCCCCCACAAATTCTCCTTTCAATAAATATGTATGCTTGTTTTAGGTAAGAGTAAGAAAAGCAAACCAGGGTATTAGGAACAAATTCAATATTACAATACCATTCAGTTTAGGATAAATGTTTGCAATAATTGTAATCATCAATACCTCACTTGTGATCGGACATTTGTTTTATTCAAAAGTTAGTTGGCAAATTGAATTAGATGCCAGTGTTAATGTGAGCAAAAACAATGTTGATTAGTTTGTTAGTATCTTTACAATGAGTGAGAGCATTTAGAGCTCTTTCATACCAATTAAATAAATTGTTTCCTGATGGCACTCACTTGACAATGACCAGCATCTGTCACATTTTTCTCAGCAATCCTGTTCTAATATAGGCCAAAATGGTACCATTTGTTTTTCAAATCTACACCAAGCATGAGATTAATGTCAACACTCACCATCAGTTTTTATTGGAAGACAATTAAACATAAACATTAAAAGAAAACCCTCATAACTTGATGCCTCTAAAATTAATCCAAACAATATTTCCAGAGAACTTCAAGATGACATTATAAACACTATCCGTTACATAGCTAAATATCTGTTATAGTGAATTCCACAGAGATATAACATGATATGAACCAACCAGTTGGTCGCGTGGAAGATTCAAGAAACAAAAGTAACTTCATTTACTGAATGACACAAAAAAACACATTGTTATGTTGAGCTGTATGTTGGTTTGCAGTATGAAGGCTAGTTTGATTTATTCCCTGACATCCGCATCTCATCATTTCGTACAGTCGGCTTTCTATCAGACCCTAAACCCTTGAGTAATATGACAGATCCCCTGTGTGATGGCAAAGAGTAAAACACACAGAGAAAACTGGCAAAGCTACAAGAGCAGTTACAGAAAACCCTGTCCAGGTGCAGAGTTTGAAGTAGGGTCTGTCGATGGTCGGCCTTATCGTCCATATTCATTCCCCTGTAATATCTTTGAAATCCTCAAGATGTCGTCCTTTCTTCTAGTCCTGCAAGTCCAGGACTCTTAGCAGCACTGCTCGGCTTCGATGAAGCCTTCCTTTTCATGACCCCCTAGCTCCACCTCGGCGTAGCTGGAGTGACAGCCCTGGTTGCGGAACGTCATGGAGGGCCAGTAGTTATTGGTGCGTCGCTACAAACAACAGACAGTGAAAGCAGACGGTAGTTGCTAAAGGCCAGGCTGCAGACGAACATGCAACAGTGGAGGAAGTTTTCAGATACTTTACTACGGTAAAAGTACGTATAGCACAGTGCAAACTACTTGGTAACATGTAAAAGTCCTGCATTGCAAATATTACACAAGTAAAATGATGGAAGCATGAACACGAACAGGGACTTAGTATCTTTTATATTAATATTTCATTGAAAATTCTGCATTTTATTTTGATGAAAAAAAACAATGCAGTATTGTTATACTAAGGAGTCAGGACACCTCTTTTAATTGGATTGTAGGGTTTCTTTTTCTTATACTTTATATAAACATTTGATCAAATGCGAAGATATTCACATTTGTTTCTAAATAGAGTGTGAAGTAACTTAAGCTGTCAAATTGTTTGAATTGAGTACAAATATCTTTAATTTGTACTTGAGCAAATAAACCTAGTTGCATTCCACCACTGCATATATGAGCATGTTTGTTATCTTTAAACCCCCAAAAAACCTCTGGGAATGCATGACTTTACTTTGTTGTCCTCACCTGCATGAGGTAGAAGGGTGGGGCCACGGTGGGGTGTGTGTTGATGTAGTACACGGCCAGTAAGGTCAGAACTACAAGCACCACCAGTGCTGCCACTACACCCGCTATGATAGCCGTGTTCTCCGTTATCCCCGTATGGTGGGGTGGACTCGACTGTAAATCTGAAAAGACAGAAAAAAAGTATCTTTTTTTTATTCAAGCAATACCACACACACAGCATAGTTCATCCTAGAGGTCAAAAGTGAGTTCTAATAAACCGGAATTGTTTATTATTATATTATATAACTGTTGTAATGTTTAGGTAATGTAGAGGAGGGCATTTATTTAGCTTCTCCTGTTACACAACTGTTTCCCTTTTTAAAACTTGGCTTAGTTTTTGAGCTTCAGTTAACTTTCTGAAGAATTGTGTAAATACTTTGGTTGCATTCTTCAATTGTATTGTTCTTAAGTTCTTATTTTCTAATCTAAATTTGTGTCAGAAATCAGGGAAAATTCTTCTAGCAGTCTTTTCATGACAGTATGAAATGTTGTACTTTTATAATATTGTCAAACCAAGAAAAATACCTTCATTATCTATGGAAAAATCTGAATCCAAGTCACCATCAAGTTACATCTCTATCTCTTTTCCCCTAGCGTCTGCTTTAGAGGAGTTTACCTCTAGTGACCGGCTGCCCTTCCATCTCCGCTGAAGAAGGTGTTGGACTTGGAGAGGACTGGTTGTAGGAGCTCATGGATCCCTCAGGTAGTACCGGGATGTAGTCCTCACATGAGCCTTTTGCCTGAGTAAATGACCACAGTTTGACTCAAGAAAATACGAAACAACTGCTCATTATATCTCTGTTTGTACGATGGGAAATGTATCTCACCTCTTCAGGGCAGTTATAATCTAACCACTCTTGCCTGTGTCGATCGATACCGTCAGAACATCTGAAACCCAGTGAGAAAAAAATCAATAGAGCAAGGCTCTCTGCGGATTAATTCCAAGATAAATCTTTTGGAGTTTCGTCCTACCGTTGAAGTGTGTTGCACCAGCCACAGCCGGTTGTCATGTTGGATGTTATGCAGAGATCACAGGATGTGTGTTGGAGACAGGCTGGAGGAATCAGATACAGTGTCTAAAGTTAGACAGTTAAACAATGAGACTCACGTAAAGGCTAAAAGATTTTTAAGGATACTTACTGGGCAGAGGCGTGAACTCAAAAGCAGATCTCCCTACGATCTTTGTGATGTTCATCTCAACACGGTGATACTCATAGATAGTACGGCGCTGTGCTTCTTCAAGACAAATATAAAATGTTAGTATGTTTGAAAGATTTATGTTTCTGCTCTGTGGGATTTAAAGGCTAAAGACTGTGGTCCATTCCACCTTTTTATAAGCCATTCAAACAGGCTTCGAATCCCAGTATTTCTTTATAACATCCAAGTTTCAGAAAATAATCATCCTTAGATATTATTTATTTAGAGTTGAATGCTAAATAAGTAATCTCAGTCAGCACTGTGTATACCGTACATGCTTTTATCTGACTCAATTGCCCGAGCTGGTAAAATAAGCAATCAGTCCCATAATAAGATTTATTTAAAATATGTCTAAATATTCCCCTATATACTTAAAAAAAAAAACGGAGAAAAGCTCAGACAGAAACCTATCATTGAATAACAATATTATTACAAAAAATGTGGTAGATTATCGTGTGTTCATTTAGGACCCCAGTCGATTGTAGTTTTGAAGAAAAATACAAACATAACAGAAAACCCTATCAAGAAACTATATGTGTTTTCAAAGCAGCAGCTATACATACATAATAATAATTTAAAAAAATACTTTAATTAGAGAACTCACCTGAGACCTGCAAGGGGGGAGGGAGTGCCATGAAAGCATCGGACAGTCCCACTTTTACTGGATGCTCAGTGGAATTCATTTTCTCCACTGGTATAGGGATCTGAAGTAATACCACCTTTTGTTTTAACACCTTTTAGAAGTATATCATTACGAAAACAAGGAGTTGAAAAACATGACTCACATCTCTGTAGTTGAACACAATGGTTCCGTTTTTGTTGAGGACTGCCTGGAAAGTAAAAGGTCCTTCGGCCTCTCGGTCCTTAAGCGACACGCTGTCCCACTGCACCACAAATACATTACCTGAGCAGAGCAGGATACACAGGCTGGTCAAAGAAAACCAGGAGCTCCCAAACATTACACTCTGCCACAGGAGCTCCTCACTTACCGTTGTCCGAGTATCTCACTGTGGAGTTTTTGGCATAGCTGGGGTCAAAGTTGGCCATGAGGGGAGCGATGTACTGCGTGGCAGTCAGCATCCGATGAGTAATATCTCCCATAAAGATGAATCCTGGTGGCAGGTAGTACAGATGTTAAAATTGTGTTGCAAGTTTGTCAATTAAATACTAATGTTATGTTTTTTTCTTCTTCTAAAACAGGCTGTATTTTCATATTTAAAATGTATTTTTACTGTTTTGTGACCAGTGTGTGTTTGTAGCTGAGTATCAAAATCTGTTGAGAACTGAAAGCTAGTATATGATATGGTATTTGGTCAATTTTTTAATCTTGTTCACTTACTCTTTGTTTAGATATTCTAATTTAAATGACATGTTTTGTCTTTTTTATTCTCGCCAAAACTCTGGTATTGTATTGGCAGTAGTAGTGAAAGATGTAAACAATACCAAGCCATTCTACTATGCAGCGTTTGTTGTCAATTGATGTCTTTATGAGAGGGAAATCTATTATCAGATCCCAAAACTGTGTTAAATCAACCATTAACTCTCTCTCTCTCGCGTGATTGTTTACTTAGGACAAGCCTTTAAGCAATTCAAGTCATCAAAAAATGAAGGCGTTTACAGTTAACCAGATTCATTTTAGCTTGATATGCCCGAATATTTCCCCAGGGTGCGATGAAGTCCCATTCAACATACTGGTAGTAATTTAATTTCCTGATTGGAAGAGCAATGTAGATAAGCACTGCTGTATTATTAAGGAATGTAAAATGATACTCACCCCCTGTCGCTATGATAATTTGTCTCAAGTGGTGTCCATAAAAAGGGAAATCAAAAGACAGCGCCACCCTCTGTGAAAAGAAAACACATCAGACATTTCTTGGTGTTAAACATATGGTTCAGTGTGCGTGTGTGTGCAATTGTTTTTACCGCTGCTTGTCGATGTGCGTTGGACAGTATGCCGTGGATCTGGACTTGGCTCTTGTGAAGGTTGTTCAGATTTACCCACAATTCCTCCGTTCGTCTGTCTGCTGGACCAAAGCTCTGCCATTTGTAGTACCGCTGGGAGTCCTCCTTACAGAAACAGGTCACTCATTAGAAGTGAAGTTTTTCATTTGACATTATTCAGCGGGAGGGGTTTAGAGTGTATTGTTTGGTGGTATAAGTTTTAAGGTATCTACAGTATGTTTTTACCAATCATAATCAGGTGCTTTTTATTGCTTAGCATGTGGGGAACATATAAACAAGATGACAGACAAGAGTTTTGAAGGTTCAGCTTTCAGAATGAATTGCAATCAGCTGCAGCCAAGCAAATCTGCTGACAGTCATGTTACAGTCTGCCTATTGACACTGACTAACCTTTTAAATGTTTTCACAGTGTCTTGTGATTAGAAACAATGTTTACATACATTTTTTAAACATGGTTATTTATTTTTGCCCTAGTACTCATTTTATAATCATTAATGTATCTATTTGTTTTGTGTATTTTGTGTTTTTCAGACATTTGGCCATGATATGATCCAGTATGCCTGTGATGGTGGATCAGAGAGGACCAGGGTCAGTGTGACATGAGAACAGTGTTTTTCAACCGGGGGATCAGCACCCTGCGAACAGCTCAATGAATCTAAGGAATCGTAAGGTACGAAAAAACATCAAATCATGTTTTTTTTAAATCGTGTTTGATGTGAGTTTAATACAGTGGTTCCCAGTGGCGGCCGGCCCATAGGGGCGCTAGGGGCGCCGCCCCACCTCTTCCCACATTAAAAAAAAAAACAATTAAATAAAAAAAAAATATATATATATATTTTATATTTTAATTTTTAATGAACAAGGTAAATATCATACAATTGGTATCAGTCAAATGTATAATCTACAATAAAATCTCGTTTAAAATTGTGTTACGATGTCTAAAGTTACTGATAAGTCACATGTTTCCTGCCTGGCCTTGCCCATGGCATTAGTTTATCAATACCGGGCGGAGCCCCCGAGACAAACAGCAGCAACCAGCACGTTGCAAAAGTCTCAATAGTAAACTGTGCCGCCGAAACATAATTTCAGCCAATCAGCGCCGTCAAATATTTTGGTCACGAGGGCGCTCACGTTGGCGCCCACGTTGCTTACGTGACGCAAGTTGTTTTTTAGACTCGTGAGTGACCAAGGTGACGCAGTATTTAGAATGGTGTGCAGGTGGAGTCGCCGGACCTCGGTCCGCACCCAATTCCGTGCAAGAGCTACTCTCCAATCCTTTCCAATGGAGAAGTTTGGGAGATAAATTGATACTTAAAGACCTTGGACCGGACCAACCCGATTTGTATATATCACAGCAAGCTCGTGAAAAAGACAAAACGTATCAACGAGGCTAGCTGGATGCAAACGATGCAAACAGGTAAATGCTATCTTTTGTTTCCCATGCTTGCTCTTCAAACAGATACGATCTGTTCAGAAACTAGACAAAAGTTAAACAAGTACAAACCACAGACTGTCTGTGTCATGGAGAATACAGTCGCTGGTTTATTTATGTCTGTATAGGCCGTTGTTGTGAGTGTGGACGGTCGGAACATATATAACGTTAGCTTAGCCAAGCTCCATTCAGAAAACAAGCATTCTAAAAGGTTTTTCGCCTGCCATCTGTCTGCAGACTTGTCAAAGCATTAATTCATGGTTTTTACTAACCGTTGTTGTTACGTCGGCATAATTTAGAAACGTGTATTACAATGTAATCACGGTAAAATCAACACATCCTCACTCCCAGGTCGGCCTATGTTGACGTTATGTCAAGTCCTGTGTCGGCTTTTTCCAACGCAAGGGGGGGGGCCTTAGCGTCCATTTTCAACGCAAGAGGGGGGCCCTTAGCGTCCATTTTCAGCCTTCCGGGATGTCCATATGCTTCTATGGACGCTCATGGAAGCACGGCATTCGTTTGTGTCGGCTGCCCTTAAAGGCAATGTGAGCGTCCATTCTCATTGGATAACGGAGAATTGTACACCCGGAAGTAAGTATTCCCCTTACTGTCGATTGATTTTACAGTGATATCTGCACTACTCATCGACTAAAAAACACCAGAGTATCCTTGTTAATTACACAACATTGATTGGTTTAAATTGTGTGCAATGCTTTTGTATTTTTCCCCTTCGATTCGGAGAAACAAATATTTTTTCGGAGTAAAGGATGGCAGAAGACACTACACTACCCAGAATCCCCAGCTATCGTTTGGACTACACCATGTGCTCTGTTTGACGTCACGTGATCTTCACATTTCTCCCTGCAGAAAAAACAAACATGGCGGAACTTCGTTTTATTCTCGGTGGAAAATGCCTATTTTAAAGTTAGTTTGGCCATTCAAATGCGTTTTGATGTCATTTGATGCGAGAAATATGAGTTGTTATTTCAGATTATGTGTGCAGTGCCCACATGATCTTTAGTTTGCTAGTTATTACGAAGATTACTTCAGGAAATTGCGTCCATAACGTTTTCATTGTTACCAAGGTGGTTGCTAGGGACGCTGCTATCGATATTATTTCTGTTATGTTGTGTAACTGTTTAATGGTGTTATCTTTATTGCTACCCCCTTCCCCGTCAATGTATAGTGTTGGTCCACAGCGCAAACATATTAGTTTAACAAAATCCGCATCTAAAGATACGTTATTTTCCCCTGTGCAATTGCAGTCTCACATCTCACAGCACATCGTCATTAACAAATACCGGAAACAGACCGAAAACATTAAAAAAAAAATAATAATACTTTATTCCGAGTGTGCTTGCTTTTCTCTTTGAAAGTCATCACATACCGGCATTGTAATACACGATTCGGCTGCATTAAATATTACATATCTGCCGTAGTTCTGTATTTATAGAGCCCTGATGAGAAGACTTCTAGACAAACATGAGGAACTGAAAACGTGACGTTGATCATAAATATATCAGCCATTAAACAACATCTTACATTTCTTTTCACACAATACGTCTCCTTGCAGTATCAACACTAATTCGGCTGACTTTTATATTTGATCCAATTGGTAGATAGGCTGTATTTACACCATAAAGGTGCACAGCTGATATAAAGGGACACCTAGTGGTTAAAGCATGTTATTGAATTTCATTATTTTTATTATTAGATATTAATAGGATCCCTATAAAGTATATTCATTACTCGTTATTCTCTACTAATAGTTAATTAAAGACTGTATATAATGACTATTTTGCACATCCCTTTCAAGATTTCAAGATTTTCTAAGGTTTATTGACATATCATATAGGCCTACACAACTATGGTGTAGTTATGCATTGAATGAAAAACTTGGGTCCCAGGTTCCTCAATAGTGCATTACAAGACATCTATCAATATTTGTGCATACCTCCAGCAATGTTAACTATGTTGAAGCACTTATTTTAACTGATATTATACATAATGTATTATACTCTTATAAGATGTATGTAGATATTTCATCTCCGACCTTGTCAGGTATTGAACAATCAATAAATAAAGAACAAAGAATTGTTGAATATAAAACACAGAATTTGTGTGATTATACTAAATGATTTACAAATAAACACCACTGCATATTTAACTGTTACACATGCTGATGTAACGCAAATGTTCCAACTTGGGATCAATAAAGTATATCTTATCTTAAGCTGATCGATGGCTACTGCCATATTTGCAAAATGTGCCTCTGAACCTTGACAAGTGCATGTTTCAGGCTTATCAATTAATGTAATGTAATGTTATCAATTAACAACAGGGGTCACACACATAAGACCAGCTGTTAAATAAAGCTCTTCTGACCTTAGCTGGCATGTGTGTAGGCCTATATATATTAATGCTGCCCATTATGGGCACAAGCAATTTTCACCCATTTATTAATTATATGTTTTAAATGTGAGTGTTTCCTATCCCCTAAACCTCCAGGGATGTACACAGTTTAATACTGGCAACTTCTTATTATGGGAAATACGAAAACGTCTTTTATAACTACAACTCCCAGTAGAGACGTGCCATAGATAGAGAGCATGTTGCGAAACAGAATAGCCAGCATGTGTAGTTCTGGGGATGGGGTGGGGGAGGGGAGGACGCGGTGGACCCGTTCAAATCCAGTTTTGGACAGTCTGCCGTGCATGGTTCCATCCCATTTCAAGTGCTGTTCGAGAATCGGCGTAACCCTCGGAGCACACTCTCCAATCACAGAGCTTGAGGACTATCACGGGTTTGGCAAACAGAGCACATGGTGTAGTCCAAACGATAGCTGGGGATTCTGGGTAGTGTAGTGTCTTCTGCCATCCTTTACTCCGAAAAAATATTTGTTTCTCCGAATGGAAGGGGAAAAATACAAAAGCATTGCACACAATTTAAACCAATCAATGTTGTGTAATTAACAAGGATAATCTGGTGTTTTTTAGTCGATGAGTAGTGCAGATAACATTGTAAAATCAATCGACAGTAAGGGGAATACTTACTTCCGGGTGTACAATTCTCCGTTATCCAATGAGAATGGACGCTCACATTGCCTTTAAGGGCAGCCGACACAAACGAATGCCGTGCTTCCATGAGCGTCCATAGAAGCATATGGACATCCCGGAATGCTGAAAATGGACGCTAAGGGCCCCCCCCCTTGCGTTGAAAATGGACGCTAAGGCCCCCCCCCCTTGCGTTGGAAAAAGCCGACACAGGACTTGACATAACGTCAACATAGGCCGACCTGGGAGTGAGGATGTGTTGGTAAAATATGTTCATTTTGTTGTAGTTGTAGCTCCCGAGCCAGCGCGTCTTGTTTGAATGATGCGAGTAAACACAGCTGGCTGCCGCGGTGAAACTCGAGCGACTAGAGCGATGCGATAGGAGCGTTTAGAGCGAAGCGAATATTCGCATCACGTCCGGTCTGAACGCAGCATTAAAGCGAGCTCCGCGCTGCACTGGAAACGCGCCATTACATCACCAGAAGTCCTAATTTTAAGGGGTCATTTCTCCCAAAAATCTTTTTTTTACTCACTATATCAAAAGCCCCACCAAAAATATTTTCCACCAGCCGCCACTGGTGGTTCCCCTACCATTGTCTTGGAGGGGCGCTGCGCCCCGCCAACGGAGCCCCGCCAACGGAGCCCCGCCAACGCAGCCCCGCGCCCCCCCCTGAAATTCAAGGTATTTTTTTATTTAAAAAATAAATACAAATTATAATACATATTTATAGCACCAAATTGCAACTAATCTATATCTACTGTTGCTTTTCACATTGAACATGTGCTCTTTTATTATATAAACTAAGTTTAGTGTTTTGGACCCTAAGAAAGACCAATAAAATATCCCAACAACCCCCTGCTCAGACAGCAGAACCCCCCCAAAGCAGTAAACCTAGGGGAAACACTGTAATATGTCATGTGTCTCTGGTGATGTCCACTATGCTAATTATACGATAAAGCAACCAACTTTTTGGTTGGAAATATGTGACAAAATTGTATTAAAAAGCTTTATTTAGCCATTTCTGAAGCACATCTCATCCAGGACCAAATAGCATCTAGAATAAAAAGACAAATATTATTACTACACAGTATAAAAATGTGGTTGCAACAAATTTAAAACTATTGAGGAAGTCTATTACATGAACTGGGAGGTCTTTGTGAGTTAATGTGGGATGACCCAAAAATGATCAAAGGGGAGATCTGTGTTAAGGGATTGATGGGATACGACGTCACTAGACATCTGGGATCTTTCTCTGCTATTTCTATCCAAACAGTTCCACTTGGGGGAGCTGTTTACACATCAAACTCAGTGCTTTGACTACGCACAGCTCTCAGTTCTTGATGGCGTTATTAATGTATGCCACAGTTCAAGGTGACAGAGAGCAATGGTTCTGGGGTTTAGTGTGGGCTCAGAAAGTGGAGCAGTTAAATGCAGCGCTCTCACTGCCTCTCCGGCTGCTCCATATACAGCAAGTGACCCACTTTTTTCTCACATCTCTATTGCCTGGCAGCCAGTGTCTTCTAGTGGGGGTGTGGGTTTTCTAGTTGAATAGAAGGCAACAATCATATACTTTTCCCCTCACAGCTGACCGATTCATTAAAGAAGCTCCCATTGGCCAAAGAGGTGGAGAGTTTTTGAAACTGGGATCAGACCTCCCCCAAAAAGGCAACAGCAGCCATACAACAGGGCCGTGTGTGATCTTGTCTAAGTGAGTCATTCACGAGCACACACACATGCACACGCGCACAGCACATACTCACGCTTAAACAAACACTGTAAGTTGGCAGGACTAGGCTGTCGTCTGTTTTCAATTTGAATTGGACTGAGAGGTAAATAAAATAAAAAAAACATACAAAACCATTTATTTTGGTTGAATTTTACTGAGGTTGAAGTGAAAGAAAGAGACAGAGTTTACAAATAAACCCTTCATACACACTCAAACACAGACACACACTGATGCAAAAGGTTACCTGAGAGAATAACAACATTCCCCTCAAGCACAGTGTTAAGATAATGACCCAATAATATTCAGATTAAAGCTTTTACAATGCCCGTAAATAACTCCCTAGTTATAATAACCTATCAGTTTCACTTAATTCATACAGCCTGACATTGTGATATGTTTGCCAATTTTGTTTTGGAAGGAGTATTATTTTCCAAAAATAATCAGTCATGATTTTCATTCTTATCATTCCAACCTCATTTTAGGTGAAATAAAATCAGCAATTGACAACATGTTTTTCATGAAGATATAAGAACCCAGCCATTTGTAGAACCTTCATGACTGAAAGCTAGGAACAATTTCTGTGGCAATTTTCTTTTGAAATGTTTCATGGTTGTAGCTAGATAGCTATGTAAGAAGACGACGCAAGCTCTCAGAAAGAGCGGCAGGCGATGAAGAAGCGTTTTCTAGTGGACAAACGGCAGTACCACAACTTCCGTGTCAAAGGATGCCATTTGGCCCAGAAATACGTTTTCCCATCAACTTACATTGAGAACGAGATGTCTGTAAATCAGTGCATATTTCTTATTGAGCTAAATCAACTACCTAGTACACACTTGCATAGACCATATTTAAATCATTATGTCCTAAAGATGTAAAATGCGCTAAAAGCCGAATCCATTGATAATTTCCCACTCCATTCATTTGATTGAGCTAAGAACAGCGATGACGCAGCGGATTGGATGCGGGGCGAGAGAAAACATGTATGTACGCATGCTTTATGTTCTCAGATCCTTGGATAATGTAAGTATTTTTGTAATAGTTACATTTTACTTCATCCGCCATTGAGAAACTTTCACAAGAATGAATAGGGTCCTGGCTCCAACACTATATCTTGTTGTCTTTATAAATCCATGTAATGACCTCTCCGTTCGTGTGGATGGCACTGTAACAAGAGTTCAAGCTAGCCATGTTCGGGTTGGTCTCATCTACTGTGTGCAAGACAGTTCCAGATGGTTCTATTTAAAAACTCAGGCAAAGGACTGTGTGCTATTCTTTAACAGAAACTGGGTGGTTAACCAAATGTACATTTGCCAAACCAACCAGTTAGTCTTCATCCCTCAAGTCTTTTACTGTTTCTCACAGTTTGACAACATTTTGGATAACTTCCCAAACTCTGTTTAAGGTGAGCAGTGCATAGCCACTTACATAACAATATGGTATTAATAATTACATTACATTTCATTTACTTTTTTCCATAGTGACTTTCAGTCAGTGCAACCAACCACGAAGATACAAACTCACTTCCTGATTTTAGTAAAAAAAAATGTGTGATTCATTTAAATGGCCTTGGTGCAGTACAAATTGGTGGGTTTACAATCTGTGATGTCCTGTCCTGATATCAATGGGCAGCTCTTTCAACCATTTGGCAGCCAGGAAAGCCAACAGACATTTTTTTGTTGAATGGTACCTGGGTCCCACTCGTAGTGAGGGATTAGTGAGCCAATTGGCCAATGATGAGTGAAGTGCACATGCTGGAGTGTGTGGTTTAACCATGTCCTGTATGTAGAAATGGCCTGATCTATTCCAAGCATGTTAGGCCAGTACAAGTGTCTTTAAAACAGATTAGCTAGTGACAGGTTTTAAAAATGATACAGGCATTATGGTGAACGATATGATTAGCCCACCCCCACTCACCACTATGCGGGTCATGTTGTCAGGCAGGGTAGTGATATCAAGTCCTCTTCCTTCAGTGTGTCGCACTTCTCTGTGTTGGTGTGGGGAATGCTGGTCCCTCCTGGTTCTGGGCAAACCGTAAAAATCCCCATCTGTCTGCAGAACAGTCTCGCTAAGTGCATCTAGAACAAGATGGGAGTTATTGTTACTGAACACTTAACCTCACATGGTCCCTGAATAGATCCATGAAGGAACATATGTCTCTTAACTCTGCAGGGCCAAGATGTTTTGTTATTGCCATGTTTAGTCACGATGCAGTAATTCTTCATGTGTTATATTTACCATTACATGGATACGCTTAGCCAGTTCCTAAACAAATAAAGCACACAATTCTAGATTCCAGACTTTTGAGAAAAACACGATCTTTCAACTGTGTCCTTATTTTCAACAAATGTGAAGGGAGCTCATAAATGATCTATTAAATGTTATATATTTTTAAAAGGTTTTTAACCTCGCGGTCACATCTGCTCATTATTGGTTACCATTATTAGGTCCATTAACAGGAAGACATGTAATCCGTGTTTAGGGCAATATCTCCCACAAAGAAAGAAAAAAGAACTCGCAAAAAACAGAATCATGAGCACACTTTGTTCTGTCATTCATGCAGAGTTTCTTTTTAATCACTGCATTTTAAACTAATACTTTGGCATCTGTGGTTTTGGGTGTTTATTTACTATTTGTGAAGTATGATACAACCTTAATTTAGTTCCAGAATTTCATATTGGCCACGTGTTTTTCTGCTGACCACTTTCATTTGTGTAGGCTTCTTGTCATCTGCGCAACAGATCATCGATTTGAACTTTCCTTTCATTTTTTGAACAGTAAAATGATCCATGAGTCACTGTCATATGAATGTACTTAGAGTTGTGAGATCAGCAGAACAGGCTGATCGTTCCATCGGGTGAAGGTCTCTGCTGTTTTCCTACTGAATAACAAGTTGAAGGTTAAATCAAGTATGCTGTCAAGATTTTATGTGGGCTGTGAGTTCACTTCATTTCATTTAATTTCAAACCTTTATTTAACCAGATTGGTCCCATTGAGATTATAGATCGCTTTTTCAAGGGAGACCTGCAGCATATAGGCTCCACATGAAACATAAAACAATAAAGGACATTATACATTATATTTACAGGATACATTTACATAGTTATAGACATTTACAAGTGGCCATAGTATCAACGAGCATTTCATTTAGCCTAGCTTTAAAAACATGCAGAGGAATGAGATTGCTCAGTTTCAATTCTTGCTGAAGACTGTTCCAAGCAAATGGAGCTGCGCACATAAAAGCTGTCTTACCTAAGACAGTCCTTGCTCTTGGCACATCTAACAATACTACATAATGCGATCTCAGACAATAGCTGCTTGCAACTCTCTGTGTTATCAGAGAGCAGATATAATATGGGAGTTTACCCAACAAAGCTTTATAAATAAACGTGTACCAATGACTGAGCCTCTTTACAGTAAGTGATGGCAGACCTGCCTTGGCATACAGGGTACAGTGATGAGTAAGTGCTTTACAATTTGTGACAAATCTCAGTGCGCTGTGATAGGCGGCATCTAACTTGTTCAGGCAATAGGCAGGTGCATTCATATACAACAAATCACCATAGTCCAGCACAGGTAAAAAGGTCACAGTGACTAGCCTTTTCCTGGCCTCAAGCGAGAAACAGGACTTGTTTCTGAAAAAGAAACCTAGTCTAACCCTCAGCTTTTTAAGCAGGTTATTGACATGAAGTTTAAAAGTAAGACAATCATCAAGCCAGATACCTAGGTATTTATAACTGGTAACCACTTCAAGTACTTGTCCTTGCATAGTAACAATATCCAAAACAGGCTCTGGTGTCTTTTTAGCTTTTGAAAATAGCATTACCTTGGTTTTATCAACATTTAAAAGAAGCTTTAGTTCAGAGAGCTGAGTCTGAATAATGTTAAAAACAGCCTGTAATTTAACACCAGCCTCCTTAATGGAGGGACCTGCACAATACATCACGGTATCTTCAGCATAAACATGTAAAGTAGCTTCATCCACATTTTCACCTAAACTGTTGATATATATGGAGAATAAAAGTGGACCTAAAACAGAACCTTGACGAACACCATTAGCAATGTTTAACCACTCAGAAGACAGCCCATCAAAGTGAACACATTGGGACCTTTCAGAGAGGTAGTTCACAAACCAACCCACTGCATGGCTGGATATGCCGATACTGAGTAGCCTCTGCTTTAAGATGCGATGATCGACGGTATCAAACGCTTTGGAAAGGTCAATAAATAGAGCTGCACAACTCTGCTTATTGTCTAAAATACTCGTAATGTCATTCACCACTTTCATTGTGGCAGTGATGGTGCTATGTTGTTTTCTGAAGCCTGACTGATGTTTAGACAGGATATCATTTTTACATAAAAACTCCTTTACCTGTTCACTCACTAGGCGTTCGAGCACCTTCGCCAGAACTGACAATTTAGAGATTGGCCTATAGTTATTTAAAATAGTTGCCTCCCCTCCTTTTAGTAAAGGCAAGACATAAGCTGACTTCCATATTTTTGGAATTGCATTTGTGCTGAGGGAGAGGTTAAAAAGAGTAGTAAGAGGAAGAGCAATAAAATCTGCAGCTATCTTTAAAAAGAAACTTGTGTGAGCTATTAAGTAACTGCATGTTTATGAACATCTTGAGAGAGGGAGAGCGACGGGGATTAGACCTCCTTCAGCCTTTTGTTTTTATAAATGGTGTTGACAATGTATAAGTATGTGCACCCTTTTTGGGTACGGTCCACAAACTAGTTTGTAGTCTTAATCTGGAGTTGTTTTTCTTTGATTGGCTTGGTCTGTTTGTTCCAATTTAAATCATAGTGCTTCTGCTTTCAATAATCCTTTAGATAATCATTTGCTTCCAGCATGGTGGTAACAGTTTGTGTTTAACACATTTCTGTGTCAACATTACTATGCCCCCCCTCCCCTTCCATAAAGTCCATAAAGAAACGTTTTCCCAATTTGGTTTGAAAGAACTTTATGGGCAACATTTTAAAAGCCTTCCAGAAAGAGTTGAGGCTGGTACAGCAATAAGATGTTCAACATTATTGGTTTAACGTTTGGCTGTTTTTCTGCTGTGCTTAAAGGTAGTGTATGTAGAATTGTCTGTTGCTGTTTGTTTTAAAACGTTTCACAGTTAGCACCTTGCAGCTGAAGCAAGAGTTACAGAGCAAGCACAACTTAGGTGGTGCGCGCTAGAGGGTGAATGAAGAGAGGAAGCTGCATCACGCAGAACTAAGCAGGCAGTCACAGCAATCAAATGCTATTTTCTTTTGGGCTTTTGCAATCCTCATGCGTAGACTGTAGCGTTGGGCGTTGTGTCGGTAAATGTGTGCATCAACTCGCTTCGTAAACAAAAAAGTAGCAACAAAAATCCTGAGCAGTCACTTCACAAGTGTTCTAAAGCACAAATCATCGCACAGGCCTGCAGGAAAGTGTTCCACTCTACCACCTAAAACACAGGGATGAGCAAAACCTTGTATCTGTACCTCGGTATCAGCAGGGCCATGTTAAGAGAGACGCTGAGGGTTGTGAAAAAGTGGCAATTTGATAAGAACATATGTCTACCAGTACCTCTGAATCTCACATATTTGTATACGTCATGTCTTGTTTGTTTAATGAGAACAAACATTTAAGTGTGACATGACGGGTTGTAATTCTTACGGGAGTTTATCTGCACAACTGTTTCTTGGTCAGACGGTGTATTTTTCTATCTTCAGAATCAAAATGTAGTTATTTTAAGGCTCATAGAAAGCTAATGTTTCTCATTGTATGAAGTAAATGTTCTATTGCTAGAAACGTTTAGTAACAAAAAGATAATGAATGAAAGAGACAAAATAGGTCAAGAGAAAAAGAAACAGAGGTTATCACACACAGGGGAGAAGGCTCTAATGAGGTAGCTTGTTTGATCACGGTAGAGAGGGAAGCTATTTCCTCTGCTTCAGAACAAGAGGCTTCTAATTGGGTCAGATTGGCAGCACTCATCACTAAACAGCTGAGGGGGCGTCCAACAGCAGGGGAGAGGAAAAGCTGTGAGTGGTAGGAAGACTGAAGGTGGACAATAAGGGGCTCAACATTAGTTATTACAGAACATACTTCAAGTCCTTTAGGAGCATGTGTTTTTTTGCAGCCTTTACAATTTATGGGTCACTTTGATATTTTGCTTTACAAACATCCTTAGGGTTTCCCGGAACATCTCTAACCTTGTCTAACTGTGGGCATATGGGCCTGGCTAGACTTAACAAAGATCGGGCAAAAAGAGTTCAACAGTGGAATGGATTTCGCGTAAGAACTAGAGTGAAGTTGACCTCTGTAGCATCAGGTCTGGCAGACACATGTGTACTTGGAACCCACACTGGGAATGTGCAAACTGGAGCAGAAAAAACATCCTGCTGAATTGGAAACAGGGACCTACAATCCAACGACTAAAGTCACAGATGTTAAAGGTTTGCTGGTGTATTGGGGGGGGGGGTTACAATAAATATACACTAAAATGCACCTTCTTTTCAAATTAAATGTATGAACATGTTTACCAAGGTCACTCAAATTAAGAAAATATCAGTGGTATATGCCAAATGGTGAACATTTCATCAATTTCAGATTTCTGTCTATTAAACCCAACATATCTTGCAGTGCCAGATTCATTTTAAATGAGTTACAAATAAACATCAGCTGGCTTGTATCCTCTTTATTTGCGCTGCATTGCAGCAACCACCTTATAATCTAGTGGGTGTGGGAGTTACATGAAACTAGGACACAGCATTTTGAACCATATACAGTGTGCTATGAATACACACATTGTGTTCATTCATCCCTTTACCATCTGCACCCACCTATTTCCCAGTCCCCTGTACCCTAGCTCTCTTTCCCTTTTCAAAACGTACAGTCACTCTGTGGCGTTCTTTCATTACTTATTTTTATGTCTTTAGCAGAGTTTGAACTGTTTGTCCATCATTTGACACCAAAGAAACATATGTCACATTTGTACCTATTGAAAGCAGCTTGTGAAGGCTAGCCAGCAACTGGACAAACCAGACTAGACAATGACGCCACATTTCCTCAATCTAAATGATCTTTCAATCTGTTGAGCTAGATAATAGTCTAGTTGCGAGCATAGTGAACCCGGAAATGTTGAGGACACCAAAGTTTAATGTTAGAAATGTATAGTACTGGTCCTCAGCACATAGAAACTGCCGGATGCTAACGTACTTGGCCGATTTGGACAATTTTGGAGTGGTTTTTTTTTGGGTTGAGAATGCTGAATCCATTATGACATAATAATGTCATACGCCCACTGGGAGTACAAATATGGCAATTTTCTGGTTAAACTAATAAAAATGTATCCCGAACATCTCCCAACTGGACTCGGCATCCCCAATAACCCCCAAAATCACTCAAAAATTGTCCAAATAGGCAATTTTTACACTATTTTCCCCATAAGCTATAATGGTAATTCATGCTTATTGTGCAAATTGCCCAATATATGCAAATTTAGCATCCGGCAGTTTCCAAGTTGCGGGGCCCCGTACTATACATTTTTAACTCAAAACCTTGGTGTACTCAACATTTTCGTGTTCACAACAGGACTCTATGAGCTGGCAACTACACTATAAAGTCCATGGATGAAAAATAAATGTCCTCTGAAAATAATCTCTGAGTAAATTCATTCACTTTGAAGTTGAAGTGAATTCGAGGATACACCGCAGGGCATGTACTTGGTCCTAGAAAGGAAAAGCAAATTATCTGCAAGTTCAACAAAAGAGAACAAAAGGCAAACATCTTTGCTCCAGAGACGGATACGCTTAACAGAGTGAACCATTGTGTACTGTTTAAACACAGCAGAGGAGACATGAATACATCTCAAGATACAAACAAAGTTTTGACCTTGTAGAGGTCGTATTTTGTACTTTATGAAATGAGACTTGGTGACAGGATTTGCAAGGCACCTGCAGTCTTCAGGCAGAAAAATCATTAGCAGAACAGTAATCACAGCGCAACATCACTGCTATGTATGTCAGTGTGTGTCATTGCAATTTAGCACAGCGGTTTCTATTGTGGTTGAATTTAAATAAGCTGATCTGTGTTAAAACCAGTCTATGGTTAAAACCAGCCTTGAGCTTGTGGCGTGGGAAGAAGCCATTTGGCACCTTTCACTCGGAGAAACAGCAGTAACCATAACACACAATCACAAATACTGGCAGCTGGACTGATAAGGATCAGAAATGAAAAGGAAAAAAATGGGTGTTTAGATAAATACAGACAAATGGATGAAGCCTAGTTTATAAAATGTTTAATTTACTGTCATTGATTTGTTTTATGATTACACTTGGAACTAATCTTTAGTGCTGCTAGGAAGTGTTTGGATATTGCACATGGTCTTTGTTACAGTTGTATTTGACTGCCTGTTCAGTGTTACTCTTTTATATTTTTTGCAATAGCAGACAAATGTATGAAATCTTATCTCACATCTGCCAGATTTACAGATGTGAGATTTTGATAACCCTGATTAACCTTTATTTTAAAGAAGCTAACATTTTACACGATGAGATCACTGGGCTATTTGTTGTCATTTTTTGTTGTTGGTTGGTATTGTATAATTATTTATATTCCCTTTCGCTTAAATCATAAGACTCAAGATTTCTCTTGGTGGAAACGTAAAAACGTTTAGGAGAATCTGTGTTATGGTATTTTTTGGCTCATTCAGGTATTGACCATGATTCAGATCACAATTGTCTCGGGAAGATGCCATCCAGTTTAAAACGTATTCATATCTGAGCCAAAATCCATGTATGTGAATGAAGTTGTTTTTGTATTACTCCTATCACTTGAAAACACTTGCTTAGAGGGTCACTATTAATATCTTATTTTATGTGATCTGAATTCCAAAAATACACATGACTTGTGTATTTCAGAGCCAGGAATCTCCTACTTTTTAAACTTATGAGCATGGCAAAACTGATTATGTTATAAATTATTCCCTTAACACTTGCATATGCAGACATGCTGAGTAAGCTCCATTGTGAATAGGGATCTTGGTATCCCGCTGAACAGGTCATGCAGCCTGTACTGGGACTGGGAGGTGTGACAGATTTGCTGTCTCCCTTTGTAACCGAAAAAAAAAGACATGGATGCCTAATTGATTTCCTAAGCAATGCAATGTAAGGATGTCTGTCTGTCTCCCAGTTCGGACTGAAACAAATTGACATATTGCAATTTTTGCAGAAACTTGTACAGACATTCATGGTCCAATATAAATATATCCTAAAGACCTTATCCGTTGACCTGTACTCTATAGTGCCACCAGCAGGTTCACCTTTGTGGTTTTGAGTCAAATCTATTCCAACTGCCATAATGGTTCAGATACTCATGTCCTTTTCAGAAGTTATTGTCAATACTTTGATCTCCTAACTATCAAACACCAACAGCGTTGACAGAGATTTTTGCTATAAAAGACACCGCAATGCAACTGTAACTGCTAGAGTATTGACTGCTCTGCTAATTACATATTACCTGGTCTGAAAATATTCTTGAGACAGTAGTGGATGGTACACATACTGGACATCCCCTTCAATCAAAGGGATTGAGAGCACAGGAAGTCACTACAGCACTGACTATTGAGTGCTGTTCCACTTTATGGTGTGAGCAAGCACTGAGATAAAGTTATCAGGGAAAATTTCCCAAAATAGGGACACCTGGGTGTATTTAAAGATGAGCGTGGACATTAAGCCTGACTTTAAGTTATCCTATGTTAGAGAGTGTCCATCTCTTTGGTCTGTGCACAGTATTCCGGGTTGTCCTCTGCAGAGCTCGGCCCCTGATCAGAGTAAGTGGGACCACAGGATAGGCCAGAGAAACTGGAGCACCACTGATTGTCAGAGGAGGAGCGTCAGATGAAGAACGGGGGCTTGCTAAAAATAATGCATCTCCAAGGAGCTCAAAAATACATACATGCGCATAAACTCATACAGAGACGGCATCATACACATGCAGGTGATGCACATAGCAACCAAGCACAGTATTTCTAGGTGATTAAATACAATTTCTCACAAGCTTTCCAAATTAAAGTTCAGCTGCTGCCCTCATTGCATTTATTTTTCTACTCTTGTAAAAATGCCCGCTGGAATAATAACACCAGTCATAATTCAAACGACTGGTTAATCTCAAACATTTAACTGCTAAAATGCAGGATTTCCGATCACATGATTTGATTATTTTTCAAGCAAATGAACACCAGATGTTTATTTTTTAAGTAGAGGACATTTTTGGAATGGGATCCTCAGAAAATCCAGACCTAAACACTTTCAGTCTTTCATGTGCTTCCTGTGACTGACAGGGAGAAATGTTAAGAGACTTGTTAACTTCACAGATGCATATCAACCCCCAAAGAATATTGCCCAAAAACATTCTCCAATCTTGCCTTTTGCCAGTTAGCCGCAAGAAATCTGATCATACTATTTATTTTAACCATATTTTTAGAAGGCTGTCTATTCTGAAGAAATGCAGTCAAAATGGCATTAATATGATAACAAACATTTGAATACCTGCACATTGGCATTGAAGAATGAGGCTTACCTTCATGCTCATAAGCCCAGACTCTTCCCAGCTCAGCCTGGGAGAGACAGATGAGGAGAACAGCACAAAGCCCCATGTCCAGCTGACTCTTCTCCCTCCTTTCCTGAGTCGTTATCAATCCTTACTTCTTCTTCTTTTCCCCTGTTTTCCCCTCACTTCGCTGGAAGTAACGGGGCGACTCACTCCTCCACTCCCCTGCCTTTCGTCGCTCTCTCTTTTTGCCTCTGCTCTCCCACACAACTTATTTTTTCTCACCTCAGCCAAGGTTTACTGCTTTTGTCTCCCTGCTGTGTCTGTCGTTTCTTCTTCCTTGCTTTAATTCCTTGTACTGCCCTTTAGAGCAACTTCATGTCAAGAAAAGACAAACAGTTGAAGTGTTGCAGAGAGAGGTGTTTTCTCCTTGCCCTTCCTTTGCTCCAATCTCATTATTTTCAACTGGTGGAAAGAAGTCTTCACTTCCCCACTGTGTCTGTCTGTCTCGTTCCTTGTGATTGTCTCTCTGTTTCTCTCTCTAACAGAGCTCTGGATTTGTGTCAGATTTCCACAAAGAGAAAATATTTATGTATTTCTACATTTTTTTTCTTTCCTTCCAAACCCAACAAAAATAGGGGGTTGGAGTTGGGAGGAGTTTGTCTCCCTCATGTGGAGGCATGTTAAACCAAAACAAATATGTTCTTTATAAAAGAAGGAGTCCTTCTGTCTGTCTCTCTGTCCTTGGATTTTTCAACAACAGTTTGAGATACACCCCCCAAATCCAAAGTACAGATCCAAGGTCCCAAGTATACCATATTGAATGTGATGCAATTTGGCTGAGTGGCACAATAACAACCATCTTTACGTTTTGGCCTGTAACTTTAGTAACCATGACATGTTTTTTTTTTACTTTTGGGGATTTTTGAAGTTTCATGTTGTTAGAGCTGAGATCCAAGGATTGATCAAATGATGTGGATAGGGAAAGCTTTGGGCTATTGCAACTGCATTTAGTGGACATGTATAGATACGATAAACCCTTCTCAAGAAAGCTGCCATAAATATTTGCATTGCATTCCGCCTGGTCGGGATGGGGATGCTTTCGAGTGAGCACTGCATTTGCATTTTATTATAATGATTTATTATATCTTCTTTTAAAGCTGATCTCATTATAGTGCGAAAAGTTGTATTTCTTTCAAATCTCTGTCGAATAAGTTGTTCCTGTTCAAAAATCAGAGTATACCTGACTAATGGTTTTCCGTTTGAAATGGATTTCTTGAGGTTGTTGGTCAGGTGTATGAATAATTCAAATACGAGCATTTTTATGTTTGAAGGTGACTCGATTGTTAATGATAACTGATAGCTAAGAAGAGCCATACACACTCATTTGTAAAAGTCTTCATTGCAATCAGTGTGTGTGTACTGTATCTAGGCTAGTGGCAAGGAGGTTAGAGTCTGTTTCTTGGCACCACTACTCATATTAGTGAGACTGTTTCTTTATTCATCAAATCTGGGCTTTCGGCAGGAGCCAAACGCAGCTGGACATGGGTAAGAAATATGTATTTGTATTCTCCTTCTGCCACTTGACAAGTTCAAAAGAGAAAATGTAACTACTTTGACATAAATAATATGAGTCAGTGAACTGTTTAGATAATGAATTTGAGCACCTGGTAGAATTCACTGCCCGCTTCTCGTACAGCCGAGTCCAAAAGGTACTGGTATGGGGATACTGATAATATATTGAACAGTGAGGAATTTACAGTTATTTAATCCAAAAGTAATTTATAAAAGTCTCCAGTTGTAAGTATTGCATGTGTTGCTGTATTTTTTTTGCTGCCTGACAATTAAATCTCAAACTTGTTTTCAGGGCACCAGAAGAACTTTTGTTGCATCTGTTATGAAGATAAGAAGACCTTAGGGCAGGGATCACCAACCACATTTGGGGGGGGGACCTGGTACTGCGGACCGCATAAAGCTTAGCAGACTCTTCACGCTAACGAAGGATCACTTCTAGGCAGGATTGGGAGGGTTACTTTGTAAATGTAATCAGTTTCTGAATACTGAATACATGGCTCTGAAAGTAATCAGAATACAGTTACGTGTCTTAAAAAACGTATTCAGATTACTTTTAGAATACTTTTGGAATACTTTCTTTTTCCATAACCATAACAGATGGGTATGTTTTGGTGCACAGGAGACACTTATTTTATTGTTTTAATGGCTTATCAAGAGCACAAACACAACATCTTGATGTCATTCTGGACAGCTCCCTCTCATCTGCACCCCACATAAAAAACATCACCCGGACTGCATTCTTTGTACTGTCTTAAAACCTTTCCTTGGAATATGTTATGAATTGTAAGGTGTCCTTGTGCGCTTTGAAAGCCGCCCCTAAATAGAATGAATTATCATTATTATTTATTATCTGAAACGATGTAATAACTTTTAAAACTTTTTCCAGTTACTAACTAGTATCTAACCATCTCCGTTTCTAACTTTCAATATATTTTGAAAGAGATCTCTCTCATCTGCGTGCGGGGGCGGGGCCTCACAGACATGCTGCATCTCTCTCTCGCTCAGACATGCTCCAGCGCTGTGCAGTGTGCACACAGTTCTGCCGGTAATGAATATTATATTTTGTGAGGAAACTTTTCCACCAATAATTCCAATAAGTATTCCAAAATGTATTCACTTCAGGTTTACGAAAGTAACTGTAATCAGATTACTCGTTTTTCAAATGTAACGCCAGCTGAATACAGTTACAGTAAGTTACTACTTTTGTATTCTGATTACGTAACGCCGTTACATGTATTCCGTTACAACCAAGCGGCAAACTCTGGGGAACAGCCGGGACGCCAATACGGAAGTGCCACACACTGCAGTTCATACATGGGCCGCTAGGGACTGGCTGCAGAAAGGAGCAATTTCCATAGACCCCCATGTTAAAATGCCCAACTTTACAGCAGAAAAAAACATGTTTCTACCCATGGATGTGTAAGGTAACAGCCTTGACAGGCCACTAGGTGTTGCTGTTGCGCAGCAAATTGTTGTTTTTTGTCCATTGTGGGACACCGTATTTCTCTTGTTGTTCTGGGTGCGGCCGCCATCTTGGCGCTAATGTTTGCATTCACTCCGCAAAAGGTGAGCAGTGTTAATGGCGGCAAATAATTGTACACATTATTATGTTAAAAACGTCCAGACATTCCATTTATTTAATTAATGGGTTAGTTTAAATGTTTATTTACCCGTTTGTGTATGTTTGGGAGTGAGACTTATGTTTTGTGTGTTCATTTGGTTATTGTATTGGTTAGCATGTAGCTAATGCGCGAATGTTTGCATTCACTCCGCAAAAGGTGTGTCAGAAGAGCTGCCATTGTGAAGAATAAATCGCTACTCAGCATCTCCACCGCAATCCGATCTGCTGTGTCCTGTTTTCCACACCTCTGCATAACATCCCATCACCAATAACAAACACAATGCAGAGTCCCATGGTGTTCAGAGAGGCTATGGGACATTTGGGTTACAGATGCAATAAATATTATTATCGATATAGTTAGATTCCACCTTCATGATTATGAATCTGTGAGTGAATTGTTTTCTAACACGACCCTTTTATTTATATTAGGTCTTAAAGTTTTTGCATAAATTAGGGCGTGGTCACTTTGATGGACATGTACATGCCTCACTGTCAGCTAACAGCAACTTGTCCACTCTGCTAGGCTACACAACCATAGAGGCTACAACGTTAGTTAGTCATAGTACTGTACTTGACCCTTTAGCTTTAGCCGTGTTCGTGGTGATTGTGCCTTTTAAGGAATATTGTTACAAATACCAGACAATTAAAATGTCGTGCTGTGCGCTTGAATGTACTAACAGAACTTCCAAGAAGTCTAAAATGATAATATTATACATGTTAACCCCGTTCGTAGGTGTTTGTGTGCTTGGTAGCTTAGCTTGTTACTTATTAGCCAGCTAAGGACGTAACCCTTTATGCATGTATATACATTTTAGTTTATGATTCAGCCTTGGGTAAGACTTTTATAGTCTATGGCTATGACGCCCATAATGCTAAACGGGAGCAAATGTTAATAGGGGACCCAATTATCCCAGTGGTGGCCGCCGGAGCTAACGGAGCCGCAGGGGGCTAGCTCCAGCCGGCGTCCCGGAGCTAGCCCACTGCGGCTCCGTTAGGTCCGGGCGGTGGAGTCCGTCGTTATAACTGGAGATCAAGGAATGCAGAGAAACGCAGACTTGGTTCGCCTGCTGTAGTATTAGCTAAATAAATTATGTTGAACAAGGCTTATTAAGCTGAACATCGCCACAATTGTTCTGCTATGTATCGGTACTTATTTTCTTAACGTGTGAATGACAAGCATTAAGAATAACAAAATACTGTATAGCTAATTCTCTTGCAGATTGTCTCATTTGATTGTGAATGTAACGTTTATATAGGGGAACTACACTGTTAGCAGTAACTTGGTATGCATGTATTTCATGTTCGCTTTAGCTTCTTAGCTTGAGCTAGCTGTTTACTTCCAGTTCGGAGGCAGCAGGTCCCGCCTCGGCTCTGCCTCTTTGCCCTTATTTGGAGCAGGCGGGATTAGACTCTGACGTTGCTGTCAAGCCGTTAGTGGCCAACTCCGCCTACTAAGGGCTTCTCGGCAACTCTGCAGAATTCTATGGGTGACGTCACGGACACTACGTCCAATACAGTCTATGGTTACAACCAACCCAACTCGGCTTCTAGGCTACTGTCCCGCAGCTCCTGCCTTTCTGTCTGTTGGACTCTGGCTGAAGTTGATTAGTCCATTTAGCTTAGGAACCTTCCTAACGGAGTGAAATGACCCGGAAGTCCCTCAGTGGCAGCCATGATAAGTGCCGTCCGAATTCTCTAGAATTATAGGAAAGGAGGTTTCAAACTTCCTTTATAACCTCCTTTAGCTTAGGAACCACTGGAGAAAATGCTGCCCCACAATGCCTTGCGGCCGAAGCATTTGCCCTCACACAACAGTCGGCCGTTCACGGAAACAACCGATTATGACCGAGAAATGATATCATGAAAGTCACGGTGCTTATTAAGCATTTTAAAACGTATGTGGTAAGGTGCCAAAGTGCTTTGTTTAGAACGTTCATCAGTATTATAATCAAAGAGAAATATGAACGTTAGTTTTGACTGAAATTATCAAATAAAGTCAGCATTTCACAGTGTTTACTACGGTGGCCGGCAGGTGCAAACGCTAAACCACGGCCAAAAACACACACATAAGCAGGAAACACCTGCAAATAATGAAATGAAAAACCAACAAACCCTGAAAACACATACAACAGAAAAACGCTGCATTTACAGAAATGATGCAAGCTAAACCTACAACAGACAAACCCTGAAAACAAACGCAACAGAAAAACGCTGCAAATACAAAAACGATATGCAAAGTCAAAAGCACATACAATCGAATAACACGTTACAAAAAAAAAGACATTACAACAAAAAAACATTCCGGAAGTGCTTCAGGCCTCTAGGGGGCACGCTATGTGGAACAGATTGATGTATGACCAGACAGAGAGAACGAACAAGAGGAAAGAAAGTTCATTTAAGTGGAGAAAGATATAAGAAGGTAAGTTTTGTTTTGTTTTTATACATAGAGCGTCATATTTACGTAGCTAGCGTTAGCGTGTTTGATCAAAGAGCTTGCAAGAGCCATTGTGCACCTAAATGTAACTCTTGACATAATATAGATATAGTATAGAACCGGGACGCCCCTCCCTACACGCAGATCACAGACTGGGTGGGGTCTCACGCCCTCACCTCGTGGATGGGACCTCAACTGAGCCGCAAATGCGATGCGGTGATAAAAAGGAAATCAAATGTAAAAAGTTGAATTAAAACAGCAACACAACATTATTCCCACATTAAAAGACAGTCTGACGAGTTGTGTTTTGAAGGTGGGGGGGTCGGTGCAGTCTCTGATGTTTAATGGGAGTGAGTTCCAGAGGGAGGGGGCAGCGATGGAGAAAGCAGCGATGGAGAAAGCGCTGTCCCCCCAGGTTCGGTGCTTGGTTTGTGGGGGGATAGACAGGAGGTTGGCTTCTGATGAGTTAATTGAAAGACCGTTCTTTAATACTATTATAATATTTAGGTAGCCGAAAAATATCCACTCTTTTTGACTTAACCTAGCTGTCCTACATTTTATTTCTCCACAGATGTACTGTCCATTCTGTGGTTCCAGCGTGACATCTTCGCAAAGACCTATTTTACAAAGGGACGGCATAACTCCAAAAATAAACAGAAAATTGAAATTGGTGAAGGTATGCAACGTTTTCTGTTATGAATACATCTGTCATTCAAATCTGCTCACCACACTCTCATATAATGTCCGAAAAAATGTTTTATTCATTTGCATATTATTGTCTTTTTGCAGATTTCTGTTGGAGTAATGAGGAGGATGGATGGCTGCCTTAAACCTTTGAGAGGGAGGTCACTTCCCCTTAATGTCGAACCTCAATGGGCATGTGAAGAACTGTTGGCTGCTGCCATAAAAAAGCAGAAAGCCTTTAACCAGGACTTGGAAGATGGTGCCCATGTCTTGTTGTACCCTGATGCGAGGGTGATAACAAATATCCCCGGAACGGACACCCCTTTCACAGTACAGATGTACAAAGAGGCCATTGGAAAGCCCTACCAACGAATTACGTTGTACATCTGTACTCTTGAAGCCGTTGAAAACAGTTGTAAGTGCTTCTGACATATATTCCCCCTTGTTTAAAGCACTAAACTGTATAATAGTTCAAATGTAAACATAACAGTTGTTCTGTCTATATTTCTTAACACAATTCATTCCACCCATCATTCCTTTCTCTTCGTGGTTGAACTTATGACGTCAAATGGTCTTTTATGAATAGTGGCAGAAGAAATGGAATTTAAGTATCAACAAAAGCTTCCAAACTTTCCTTCTGTTCAAACTGTTATAAATTCCCTCTTAAGGATTGTAATTCTAAATTAACCTTTTTTCTCACAACAATGTTGGTTTGTTGTGCCCTAAATCCTAATGTGAGAGTGAAAAAGACGGTCAACAATATAATGTACATTTCACAAACATTTTGTGTTTCGATTGAATCCTTTCTGATTGATGTCAATCCAATAATTCAGGATTCAAACCAACATTTGATGATAGGTACAGACGTAGGGGAACAATTATTTGTATAGTATTAATCATGACACTTTTATTTTCTTAGGTTACACTGGAACAATCTCTTCAAGTGACGAGGACAGTGTGGTTTTTGCAAAGTTGCCATCTGGAGACAGTCTTGCTGACACCGTGGTCAGTTTGGATCTATCGTGGCATTTATTCTTAATTAAAGTGAATTTATTTTATTTCAGTCAGTCATTTGTGTGTTGTATGCAGGTGTGGGACTTTCCAAATGAACAGAGCACTCCCAGAATGGACAACAGTTTGCCAGGGTCAAATAAAACATTGTCAACATGTTATTTTGTGCCACAAGAAGCAGAATGTTTTAACAGTACAGTAGTTTGAATATATTTTTTGTTTACCTTTATCAGACCTCTCAGGCACCCACAACCAGCGTCTGATCAGGTAAGACTAATTACAAATGTAATTATACCATGTAGGTTTGAATTTGTGAACATGAAATCAATAAATACCTTTGTGTGCTAATGACACTGTCATTAGATCAACTGCATCATTATTATTTATTGGGTAAAAGTAGGATGGAGAACCAACCCCATTCCAGGAAGAGGTCCAGTCTGCCCCGGGTCAGAACACCTTCTATAGGTAAACGATGTTGACAGTTGCATCGTGACACAGTTGTTTGGTGTGTATTTTTATTTGTACATTTGGTTGTTTGCATAGCCTCCAATCACAGTGGGTAATATTGCCAGGAAGCAGAACAATTATACTTTCATACATTTCCAAAGGACACCCACAACATCTTAGTGAAGACGATACAAAAAACACCCACAAATATTTGTCAAAGGTCAGATATTGTTTGTTGCATCCATTTCAAATGTTTACAAGGATTGTGCAGGAGTATGACAAAGTGCTGTTGTCAGTTTAGAACCCAATGTATTAAAAAAAAACAGGAAGAGGATCGACATCCTTTTGCAAATATGACTGTCATGCATATATTATGTATTTGAAAGTCATTATTCAACTGTCTTCTCACTGCAGCAACTACACAACTGTGTATGCACTTATCATTACTGACAGCCAGTCTGAGCCAGAAGAGGAAACGGAGCAAACTGCAGAGGAAATGTATTAAATGTTACTTTTATCACTTGATTTTTTTATTCTATACTGTAAATCTTATTATAGCTTCATCATTTAATATTACAATACATCACTTTGTCTTTCCCAGCACAGAATACCTGACTGCGCCAGACATTGTTGCAGAACTCTCTGCAAAAATTAAAAATACCTCTTGCAGCAGGTTCAATATTAATAGAGCCAATGTGTGGGATGGAGCAATCCGCGGCTTCAAAGGGGCCTCATTCGACCCCTCTCATCAGATGCAGGTTAAGTTTACTGATGATGAGGGACAAACTGAGGATGGAGTGGACACTGGTGGTCCCAAGCGTGAGTTCCTGACCCACCTAATGGAATGCCTGAGAATGAGAAGAATATTTGATGGTCCACAGGACAGGAAATTCCTCAAGTTCGACAATGCAGGTAATGATGTTCGCAAATCTGTCTTATGTTCAATACTGTACTGTAAATATAGGAGCTGCTTATGGATTTTGCAGCTTGATTTACGTGACAATTACATTATCTTATATTGTATATCTTTATGATAACGTGGCAACTGTTGGTTAACGTGATAATAATTTAACAAAAAATATCAACAGCTGCAAAAGATGACGAATACTTTCATGCTGGGAGGATGATTGCAACTTCTATAGTTCAAAAACACAAGGAGAAAAAGAAGAAAATATGTCATGGCTCACTGTCTCAAAATCTGATTCTAAATGTATAATGTTCTTTATAAAGATATAACTAATACACAATTATGAATGTATAATATAAGCTGTTTTGTGTATTTAATCATGCGTTGGTCTACAATTTAATGATGGCTTCTACATATTTCACATAAACAGACAATGAAAAAATGTGTCCTTCATGCTGATAACTAGTGTATGCATCTGCCAATTAGCATTCTAAACAGAGCAGTGTGTTGAATCCTTATTTCTTGCATTTGAAACAGATACAATACAAAAAGTGAACTTACTGTTGTGTTCAACTTCTGCCAAAAACTGTACATGTTTGCCACAGGAGCCACAGAGCACTTGAACTGTCCCCAGATGTTGGCCACAGAAAGGACAAAACATGGCAGCCTGAAAAGACATACATTGATGTAGTAAATCCATGTAATCAAGTCAATCAAAAACACATAGTCTAAATAGTGGTTAGCTAAATAAATAGATACATCATGTTCACCGTTGAATCTGTGATTTGTCTCTCTCTCTCCTTGAATGTCTAATGCACACTACTGTCATTACTTTGTCCCTCTTCACATTTTGTCACTTTCTCTCTCTCTTTCTCTCTCAATTCAATTCAATAGCTTTATTAGCATGACCATAGTTACAGGCAATTGCTAAAGCTCTGTATAGTTGCAACATCTATACACAAATACATAAATATAAACAAACTGCTAAGAATTCAAATGTCCTTTTTCCGCGGTACTCACTATGGCCCGTGTTATTTGCCTGCACTTGATTTGTCATCTCTTTTAACAATGTTCTTCCCTCACTTTATCTTCTCTTCACGTGAAGCTCTCCTCCCTCAGCTGGTGTAGTAGTTAGGCACGCTAACGCTAGCTATATAAATATGACGCTCTATGTATAAAAAAACAAAACTTACCTTCTTATATCTTTCTTCACTTAAATGAACTTTATTTCCTCTTGTTCGTTCTCTCTATGTCTGGTCATACATCGATCTGTTCCACGTAGCGCGCCCCCTAGAGGCCTGAAGCACTTCCGGAATGTTTTTTTTTTGTAATGTCTTTTTTTTTGTAATGTGTTTTTCGGTTGTATGTGCTTTTGACTTTGCATATCGTTTTTGTATTTGCAGCGTTTTTCTGTTGCGTTTGTTTTCGGGGTTTGTGTGTTGTAGGTTTAGCTTGCATCATTTCTGTAAATGTAGCGTTTTTCTGTTGTATGTGTTTTCAGGGTTTGTTGGTTTTTCATTTCATTATTTGCAGGTGTTTCCTGCTTATGTGTGTGTTTTTGGCCGTTGTTTAGCGTTTGCACCTGCCGGCCACCGTAGTTTACTGAGCTGTGTGGGGTTTGTCCAACTTTTAAAAGATGTTTGAATGGTGATATACACACTTGTGTATTAGTAAAAATACATTAATGAAGCAAGGGACAGAGGATACGGGTACTAAGCTCTTTACTGTTGTTCATGCTTTTTTCCCGCCACAGCATCAACTCCCGGGCATACACTTATTCTCTCCACATTGTAGGTTACTCTGGTTACACGGCGCCCCCTATTGGCAGGAGTATATCATAACACAACATTTCCCCCCTTCTTAAAAGAGTTACTTCTCCACTTGAACAGTATACATAACATTAGCATTTTAAACAGACACTTCTGTAGTAACCATCTGTAATAATAATAATAACAACTTCACATATCACAATATGCAGAACATTTTCAAACATTAATTCAACCACAGTTTAAGTGACATAGTCCTCAATCCAAGCAGGCTGCTTTCTGATTCGCTGGTTCCTGCTCTGAGCACCATGCACTATAGCTGGCTCAGCAGGCCTCACTTCTTCTGATGGAGGAGTGAATGTTTCTGGAAGCACCGACAGGTGTGAAGCATCCCAGGTTTTTTCATTATCAAGCGTGTAACTGTGAGGTCCTTTCTGCTGGGTCACTTTCAGAGGCTCATTGAACTTTGGCTTTCCCTTTTTGACATGCAACGGGTTTCCCGGATGTATTTTGGGAATCTTGGCATTTCTTTTGGCGTCAGTGTATGTTTTCATGTGCCACTGTTTCTTTTCCACTCTGTCTCTCAGTTCCTGATCCTGAGTATCAGTAAGCTGTGGCAGGATTGAGAGTTTGGTTTGCATTTTTCTTCCATAGATGAGCTGGAAAGGAGATGTCCCTGTAGTGGCATGAGGTGTAGCTCTGTAGACCTGAAGAAACTCAGCAACGTGAGCTTTCCACGGAGCGTTCTCTCTCTGTGCAGTGAGAATGCTTTCCTTCAGCACTCTATAGCCTCTCCACTGCTCCATTTCCTTCTGGATGGTAGATTGTAGTCCTGATGTGTTGGATGTTGTGGACCGTTATCTGTCACCACAGACACGGGGTTCCCTTTTTGGCTGAACACTGATCTCATGATGGTGATCACTGTTGCAGTAGTGCATCTTGGGGCAAAACACACTTCTGGCCATTTTGAATAGTAGTCAGTCATAGTAATAGCAAACTTACAGTCCACCGGACCAGTCTCAAATGGGCCCACGATGTCGAGTGCAAGCTTTTGCCATGGCCCCTGAGGCAGAGGGACTAGTGTCATAGGTGCAGGGTTAGTTTTAGCTGTCTTATCATTCATCTGGCCGGACACACCGGCGGCGATAACCGATTGTACCAGTGCATCCATTTTAGGCCACCAATACAAGTCTCTGAGTCTCTGTTTTGTGCGTACAATGCCTTGGTGGCTCTCGTGTGCTAAGGATACCATGTGTGAGTGTAGCTTTACTGGAACAACTAACCTGTGACTCCCTCTCAGAATGAGTTGTTCATGTACATAAAGTTAATTTCTCACCTGGTAGTACGGCAACATGTTAGCAGGGAGGCCTTTGGATGAAGCTGGCCACCCATCTGTCATGTAGTTGCATAGCTGGCGTAACTCTGGACAGGAAGTGCAGGCATCTGTGAAGTCAGACGAGGGAACAGCAGTCAGCAGGGCAGAGACAGCAGCAACAGTCTCTGGTTCCGTGTCTGAGGTGCAGTCCTGTCCGTGTGGCAGTGGCAGGCGGGAAAGGCAATCTGCTGCATGGTTCTGAGCACCGGGTCTGTAGACAATATCATAGTTGAAGCAGAGTAGCCTAGCAGACCAGCGTTAGGTCTGCTAGGCTATCTTTACTATCAATCGAAACTGCTTTTGGGGCAGTATTATTCAGCAATAAAACAGTCAGTTCTGGAATAACGACCTCCCTCACTTCACGTTTTTGTTCTGAACGACGCACTTTGGCAAAATGCCCAGTTTTTCCACAGGATTTGCATATTTTGTTTGTAGCAGGGCATTGTGTGGAATTGGCCATATGTTTATCTGAATCACATCTGTAACATCTTTGTGCTTGCTCAGACTTTCTCTCACCTTTCCTTTGTTTACTTGCAGCGGGAAGTTTTTGTTCCCATTTTGGCGCCCTGATCTCTCTCACAGGCACTTCATTGTTGGAGAACTCGGCCACGTTGCGCACCGCCGTTTCCACCTGATTTGCAATCTGAATGGCTTTATCCAGTGTCAGTTTGTCTTCTAGCAGCACGCGTTCACCTATGCATCCACTGTAGGCTTTTTCCACAATCTGATCACGCAGCATATCCTGTTCTGCATTTCCAAATTCACACAAAACGATAATTTCACGTAGCGCAGAGACGTACTGTGCAATTGTTTCATCATGTCTCTGGGCTCGTTGGCGGAACTTGTGTCTCTCCGCAATTACATTTACCACGGCATGGTTGTATGTAGTTCCCGTTTCAGTCAATGTGTAGAAAATCCTCTGTGCTTCGGTTCCGAACTTCCGACGCTGTGTAGCAGCTTAGCACGTATACGACGGTATCCGGCCACTTGGCTCCTTCCACGTCGATCACTAGCAGGTAGTTTTCGAACATTTTTAGCCATGTTCCAAATGGCATAGTAGGTTCTCCCGGACACTAAATAAAGGTGGGAGGTAAAGGAGTAGAAGCCACGGCCATCCTCGTCGCCAATTTGTTGTGTATTAGTAAAAAGACATTAATGAAGCAAGGGACAGAGGATATGGGTACTAAGCTCTTTACTGTTGTTCATGCTTTTTTCCCGCCACAGTATCAACTCCCGGGCATACACTTATTCTCTCCACATTGTAGGTTACTCTGGTTACACGGCGCCCCCTATTGGCAGGAGTATATCAGAACACAACACACACTGATAGATGTTAAGGACTTACGTTTATAATAAATACATCTGTATTGATTTTAAGATATTTTCATAGTTCATACAATCATACGTATTGGGATCATTTGTATTAATGTGTACCGGAGGGAGAGGGTGACGAGCATAAGTTTCACTTTCCTTTTTTATTTCAATTCCAACTTTGGTCATGAAGAATATGTTTCTCTGTTGTCCACGTTCATAAAGCAAAGCAACAGCATCAGAGCACGGTGCAGAGTCTCTAGATGAGTTTACAGTAGTCCCTCGTTCTTTTTAAACATCCATGTTGTAGTCCGCTGTATAGAAAACTGTAGTTTCCATAGTTTCCCCACAGCAGCAGCAGACGCACATTCATGACGTCCGCTGGCGCATGATAAACACGTCGGATAGTGAAAGTGCAGTCAGATTCTCTAAAGTACAGCAGTCTCTTCTCCTAAGTCCTTTTGAATTCTCCTATCCACTATCCCTTAACCCCGTGACGCTTCACTCAGAGGTCAAGGAATAGACGATAGGGTTAGAATTTAGGAACTGATTTTTTTATTATCCGACCGCAGCCCCTGTCGCAGCGGGGCTACTGCTGTGGTGCGGAGCGCACAAAGCAGACTCTTCACAACGAAGGATCACTTCTTCTTCAAGGCAGGGAAGGTTTCGCAGTACACAGTCTACTGTCCCGCAGCTGCTGCCTCTCTGTTGGACTCCGGTACTGCACCTTACTCACGAGACGTTGTAAAAGAAAAATGGGTGGGGGGCGAACGCAGTAACCACTCCGCCAACGCCACAGTCACCCCCGTCGTGCGGGCCGGATGAGAATGTCTGGCGGGCCGGATGTGGCCCGCGGGCCGCCAGTTGGTGGTCACTGCCTTAGGGTGTGTACTTTTCTTAAGATATGCTTGATGAAAACTGGCTGACTTGATTTAGCTGTTTGGAAAGAAGAAGACAGATGACCCCATTTGTATAGCCTTGCCCACATGGCAATCTGGGGGCCACATCTAGGCTAGTGGCAGGGGGTTATCAATTAGCCTCTGGAGGGTAGAGTTGTTTTCCTGTAATTAAAACATTTTTACATTTTTTGGGAACTGTATTTAGCTGTTTACATGCTCTAGTGCAGTGATTCTCAAACTTTTTTCAATAATGTACCCCCTTTGAAAAAAAAATTCATTGCACCCCCTGATCAGTGCAA